TGACCCGTTGTCAGTTGCCATCGAGTCGGTGCCACCTCCCGGTGCTTAGCCCATAATAAAGAATGGTCCATGAATTATGCTCATCCCTTTTTTCGTGATCAGATTCAGTTTCCAGAGGACCAGAAATGTAGTTCATTCACCACAGACTTTCCAGCACCAGGGACACTGCTGGGTTCATGCACATGGCTCAAGCAATGCTGCGTTGACCTGTGGGTAAGCCTTAGGAAAGATACTGCTATTTTGTACTTTGAAAATTAAACTGCTCATCCCGGTCAATAGCAGCAGTACCACAAGAGGAAAGGTCACTCTCCGTGTGCCCCTCTCACCCCTCATCACAGGTCCTGCTGCACAATTTGAGGCACCGTCCTTTAGTCAGTCTTTCATATGACTTCCTCGCAAGGCAGTTCTGACCCTGTAGCATAAAGGAGAACTGTGCCCGGGGAATTCAAGACTAGTGTTTCCCACCCTCTCCCTCCATCTCCTTATCCCACCCTCTCCCAAGACTAGCTTTTTAAGGGAGCAGAAAGCCTCTTCTTTCTGCTACGGAGCCGTTAGTGGTTTTGAACTACTACACCACCAGGGCTCCCCCTAAAGTTTAGTAAGAATAAACGATCCTTCTAACTTTAATGGTAGAATGCTAAATTGTTGACATGGCCTGCAACTAACATTGATGGGTCCTATCTCTGCAATCACTCTGAAACTCACTACCATCAAGCCGAGTCCAACTCCTAGTGACCCTGTAGGCCAAGGTGGCCCTGCCACCTTGGGTCTCCAAGGCTATAACGTTCTATGGGCGTAGAAAGCCTCATCCCATGCAGTGACTGGTGATTTCAAATGGCTGACCTTTCCCCTAACAGAAAAACGCCTAGCCCTCTCCACCACAGGGCTCAGAGGAAGGCTTCAATCAATGCACAGTCCCAGAAAGACTTTGCAGTGTCCGTGTATTTTGATACAAAGATCCAAATCCTAACAAAGGTGGGGGTTGGAGACTGTTAGTCACATCTGGTGAAACACAAACAGTCTCTGTCTACCATTACTGAGAGATAGCTAATTATGTTAATCACCGAGCCCCATTTGTCTCCCATTTGTTCATGAAAACACCAATTATGGATGAAAAGACAGACACTGGTATAATCCATTTGAATGGTGTTTACTCATTTTCATATTCATTCCTCCTATTGTTTTGTCTAAATTTTGCATTGGAAGTCAGTAAGAAAGACCAAAATAGAAACGACTATGATTTCCCAGCAATCACCCCAGTAAAATAGAAAAAAAAATTATTTTTTTTAATTGAAAACTACCAAGTTCCATTTTGGCAGATAACATTTTACCTGTTTTTATATCATTTTCTTTTGAATATAATAGGAAAGGATTGCATTTCCATGAAGTGAAACCACTTTACTTAAGTGGATTTTTAAACCTGCCAGTAAACACACACATTTCCTCGGAGACACATGGGGCCTAATTTGTTTCTCTTCATGCAGAGAAGGTGTTTTCCGGGGTGTGAGTCTAATAGGGCCACCTTCTCTGGGACCTCCTACCCCTTTAGGCCAGGAGCCTTGAGGCACAATCCTCACACACTCAGCTGTTGTCGCCATAGTCAATGGCTTCTAATCCATCAATTGGAGATGCGGCTTTTCTTTGTCTTCCACACTTGCTCTGAGTCAGAATTGAGTTGATGGCAATAGGTGTGGATTTTGCCCCCTGGCTACACCCCCAGCAGTCTCACCATGTTCAGCATGGACAGCCTGGAGCTCAGGTCTAAGTAACCTGGCTCACTGTTGGCTTATCTCCCCTCCTTTTCCCTAGTTTCCCTGCCTTCCACCTTCCATGACCCGCTGTCCTAATACTCCAGGATGGGGTTCCAGTTCTCTGTCTAACATGGAGTGCAATTATCATAGCACAGTACTAAGTATAGTCCCTGAGATTTTAAAATTGTCCTGTGAACCTGCTTCCTCTACAGAATTCCAAGAATCGCATATGACACACTTTCTCAACTACTACCCCTAATGACCCCATTTCATTCTTCTCTCGGCAGCCACCCAAAACCCAGCTGCATGCCACGAGAAGACTGACTTAGAGACTATGCGAGACGGAGTCTCCTGCAGAATGCCCTGCAGATTTCACTGCATCGGGGGACTGCAAGCCCATCTGTAAACGAGAAAGTCCCCAGCAGGATGGGATCTCGATAGATGGTTTTTAGCTCTGATCTTTCAAAAAAAAAAAAAGTGCTAAGTCACTTCTTTTGTCTTCCTAATTAACAGATATAAAGACTGGAGGTACGATTTCATGGCAGGTAAATATTGTAATACCTTTAGCTAAAAACCTTATTTTCTTTTCCACTCAATAAATTCAGCCATACGGCCTACTTTTTTAAAGATCTTTCTCCAAGCTCAGCTCGCAGCATGCCCCTGGGAATGCTTAGGCTAGAACCACTGAGATGCAGGACAACAGAGGCTCGCCACAGGGTCACGCACACATGGAGGAAGTAAGCCTTTGTGCAGTGAAACCACTGAGATTTCTGGGCTGGGTTTACTTGTTATCCATCACAATGAATACAGACACCATTCTTCTTCAAAAAGCCTTCCTAACCCATCTATGGATGCAAACTATTTAAACTTTTCTAGAAACCAGGGCCAATGTCAGAGGCAGGCATCCTATTCAAAAGGACCTCCTATTTCAACTTTTCATATGCCAAATGAAGTCATGTGGCCCTTGTTTGCACCTGTGGTTAAAAGCGGAGCATGTTTGATGTGTACATTTCCCACAGAACATAAATACGAGGAAGCCCCGTGGCATAATGGTTAGACTTTTGAATGCTAACCAAACCAAAAAGTCAGGAATTCACAGCTGCGAGCAACTTACTCTACTAGTCTGCTTTTGTAAATATTTATAGCATTCAAAATCCTACGGAGTAGTTGTCTGTCTTATAGGGGGGCTCTCTCTGTAGTCATGGACTCCAGGGCAATGGGTTTATGGAGGTGCATGTGTATGTGTACACAAAGTATATCATCTGTGTGTGTGTGTGTGTGTGTGTGTGTGTGTGTGTGTGTGTGTGTACATCTTTCCACCTCTAGGTTGCCCAGACTGTAGCCTTTACCTTTGCCACAGGTGTTACCAGGTTTGGCCCTCTCAACCTTTGACCTCCCCAAGTGTTCGGAGACCAGAGACTATGTTTACTCAAGACTACACCCCTCAAACTGACCAGTAAACATGCAAGCTAGGCCATCTACAAGCATCTGTTCAGTGAACAGCTGACACCTTACCCATCAAACAATGCACAGATTCAGGCTTATCCTATGATCAGACATAAACCACATTTCCATCAGACTGTCTGCAGTTTTGACAACTCCACATAGGTCACAGTAGATTTGTGTTTTGTGTGGTTTTGGAAATCAATTACTAGTTCTTGCTTCCACGGTGCCTCTTGATGAATTAAAATTGCCAACTTTTTGGTAAGAGCTGAGTGGAAATCATTCGTACCATCTAACACACCCACTCCCTAGCTGATTCCAAAGCACTGACCTGGGACCGAGTAGGACTGCATACTTCTTTATGAAAGGACACTGCCCTCTCTTTCTTGTGTGGAGCAACTGACCTTTCAGACGGCAGCCCAATGTTTACCCTCAAATACCAGACACATCGGATAAAATACACTGTCTTGCAATGTCACGACCCTACTTAAAAATATCCAAATATTCGTGCATCTAAATTGCCTAATAGATTACATCTCACCTTCTCCACCTGGAAATCAGGGACCTTCAAAGATCTCAGTCCATCTTACTCTCCCAGCCTATCCCTGTCTCTCCCTGTGCTCCTCACAGGCCTTTGCCAGCGAGGGCCGTTGCTCACTGTCCATTCGCATGTCACACACACGTTTTCATTCGCCCTTTGTTCCTGCTGGTCCCCCTGGCTTAGGATAGCTCACTCATGTCACTCTGTAAGGCTCTGTAAGCCCCATTTTACCATGAAACCTTGGGCTGCATCAGTTCTGAACCCACTAATTCTGAAAGCTGCACCTCTCTCGATGGCAGTTCACACGCGTTCATGTCCTGTGGTTTTGATTATTCCATAAGATATATACTGTAATCGGTTCCCTCTTTCCTATAAGGAACTATATGTGACCTCCTCCCTGGGGGACGGACAACTGAAAAGTGGGTGAAGGGAGACGTCGGACAGGGCGAGATATGACAAAATAACAATTTATAAACTATCAAGGGCTCTTGAGAGAGTGGGGAGCGGGGAGGGAGGGGGAAAATGAGGACCTAATGCCGGGGGCTTAAGTGGAGAGGAAATGTTTTGAGAATGATGAGGGCAATGAATGTCCAAATGCGCTTTACACAATGGATGTATGTATGGATTGTGATAAGAGTTGTATGAGTCCCTCATAAAATGATTAAAAATAAAAGATATACACTGCTAAAGGATTCTGAAGGATAGAGATGGCATCTTTTATTTCTATTTCCTTTGAACAGAGTAGTAAGAGGACGACACTGTGAGAGGAATCTGCTGGTGACAATTCACCTGTCAAGGAAAATGGAAATCCACACAAATCTAGTACGCCTCTCAGATTCATACTGTAAAGTAATGGCCCAATTGAATTCACAACTCAGTTTGCATGACTCTAAGTCAAAGGTACTTCTATTCATACTACAAGGTCTGAAAAAAAAGAGCTTACCAGGCTTCTTTTCTGCTAGAAACACCACATGGCAAACAAACACAAATAACGTAGTAACCCACGGTAATCCCTTAAATTGCAAATGGCTCAGTTGTTCCCCAGAAGCGCAAATAGGTTTTTTACATGACCAGGTCACACTAAAGAGACAGGAAGTCCCCATGACAAGCCCTGTAAACAACTGCAGGTGTTAGCCCTAGAATCAGAAATTTAATGTGGGTCACGGTTTCGGAGAAAGCAAAAGGCAGCGTTTTGCAGATTCTGTGCAGGAAATGATCAGAGGCTTCCGTCCAAGGTGAGAAGAGACGCAGTTCTTGTGACCTACCTTTGCGAATCTCCTCATTAAGTGCGATAATGCTTCAGGATTTGGGCATTCCAATTTCTTGATAATCTCGAAGCTCTGATTCAGCTGAGCAAACACGTCCACCACAGAGCAAGAGAAGAGGGCATGGTCAGAGGTCTGCTGGAACTGTGGGAGAACATACGACAGGGTCCCGACAAGCACGTTAGAGGAGAGGTGGAAAGACTCCTTATTTCATGTAAACAATGAAATCGCATATCACACGCCTTCGTGTTCTGGTAATGAAATGCTTATTCATTCCAAGATCATTCATCTGGTTTTCTGGAAAACGTAGCGGAACGAACATCATGGGTGTAAGCTTCTGTTAATTGGTTACTCCACTGATGAACTAAGAGATTAGTTCTTTCCTAATTCTCTTTGCTCACAGGTATTAGGATGGTTTGAACAAGCCAATTGTAGCTCAGAGTTGCTCCGGAGTCTAGGTCCCCAAACATGACTGATCACTGGATTAAGGATCTGGTAACATCACAGATTTCCTGGACGCCATTTGCAAACAAGTGAATCAGGATCTCTAGGGGAGGAGCCCAGGGATCTAGATTTCCCACATACCCCCAGATGATCCTAATCATAAGCCAAGTTTGGGAACGTGGGGTCCAGAGGCACTGAAAGGGTATCGACTCTTAATCTGGAAATCTTGAAACGGTTCCAGGACACCAACAGAAGCTTGTAGATGATTGGGGACTCTGCAGTTACAGACCAATTCACTGGGAAAAGGAGACTCTCCAGGCAAACGGTGACTGCTTTGAAACAATTTAAGCAATTCCCTAAGATTCTAACTAGCCCTTTAAAATGGGCTTTGAAATATATGTTGGTCAAGAGAGTTTTAAAAATCCTAATGAATCATGCTGAGGCTAGCAACTACCATGAGCACAAAACTGAGCCGTATAAATAAAATAAGCCATCATAAGGCACTTAGACTCACTCCATCTTTTTTGTCCCTTCCCAGAGCCCCGTGGACGAACTCCAGGGACACGTCTTCGTTCTCATCCAGCCACTGCATGACGAAAGGCTCAAACCACCTGACAACAAAAACCAGACGCCACGTCACCTACCACCAAAGGCAATGCTTCCATATATGTAAGTGAATCAGTTCGTATCTACTTTCTGACTTTTTACAAATTCGCTTGTATTCCATACCTGGGCAAATTAATAAGAAAATACTCCATGGGGAAACTGCTTGTTAATACTAAGCTCCTCTTTCAGTAATTCTTCTTTCTTTAGGGGGTTTGGTGCCACTAATTCAGCCTTGGTCGGCCCCAACATATTATTATTATTAAATTATTATTATTAAACATATTATTATTAATTTCTTTCTCCAGTGCAGGGGAGGTTGCTCCAAGGTCTGGGCTTCTCCCTGGGGCAATCAGGATGTTATAGCAAATGGACCAGCAGGGAAGCACCTACAGTGTAGTGAGATCCTTTCACTACATTTTTCCTTCCTCAGGGACTTTGCCTGCCTCTCAGCTCCTGGTTGCTTTGGTTACTCTTTGAGGCCTTCAGTCTACTGCATCATTTAAAATTTTTGTTTAGCTTTTATGGTTGTCCTTTCAATGGGAGTGTTAGGCTGATGCAAGCTACTCTGACCGAGCCAGAAGTAGAAATCTCTAACAAAAGCTCCTCCCCCTCTTTGCCTCCTTATTCCCAAGCAATGAAACAACCAACCACTTAGGTACACACACTTTATATTTAACCTCCTTCTTTTATCTCCTTATCTATTCAGCTGAAAAATCCTATAAATGCTAGCTTTAAAAATGCTCTCCCACACAGCTCCACCCTTTGCCTTACCACTGCAATCATTCTACATTAACCATTAACACGATGTTTAAACTTGCCCCAGTATTCTACTTCATCTTCTACATGTTTATGACAAATGCTACATTTAAAGGCAGTTCGAATGTCATCATCACACAGCGTACTGCCTTCTGAAGTTCTTCCCTGACGCAGCCGCTACCAGTGCCTACGGAATGTGATACTGGCTCCACGTGTTGGCATGGAATCTACTTCAAAACACTTTTCCCTATTGTGATGGCTACTATTATGTGTCAAGGAGACTAGCCCATGATTCTTTGGGAGTACTCTATAATTATTCTTCGTGTTGTTATCTGATGTAAGAGGAGTTTCCTTAAGAGTGAGACCTGCATTCATTATAAATGGATGTTCGGATCAAGATCACTGGGTGTTGATCCTGCATCCAACCGTTATGTTCTGGTGCCCAGTTCTTGGGACAGGAGGGTAGAGCCTACTGACTGTCCTATGGATTTGGGGACTGCCCAGCTCCCACAGCCTGGTGAGCCAGCAGCATTCATTTTGGTCTATCAACTTTGAGTCCATCCATCTTTAGAACATCATGAATCAAGAAAATACCTCCTGCCTCATGCCTGACCCATGGGTTTGGGACTTATCTGACTTTACAGCTTTTTGAGATATTTCCTTGAACTAAATCTGTGTGTGTGTGTGTGTGTGTGTGTGTGTGTGTGTATTCCCTTATTTTACCCCTCTAGAGAACCTAGCCCACAACTGCTATATTACTTTCTAATCCTTGTATAAAGTAGACTGTATATCCCAGTAGAATGAACTCCTACCCCACTGATCATAGCACAAATATTCCAATTCTATCATTTTGTTTACATCGCTCTGTACATCGCGATGACTTTCTTCATTTTCCTCTCAGTTTATGTTACTCAATTTCATGAGTTTTGTGCTGAAATACCTAATAGCACATAACGTCTTTTCAGGGTAAAATCTTTCATTTATTCATGATTGTCCCGCAGCCCCCGGCACAGTACCCAACACATAGGAGCACTTCCATCGAATCAAGTCGGATTCTAATGAATAAAAAGTGCAGGGTATTAAAAGTATAATTGTGTGATTGCAATTGTGTTTGATAAAGGCATGCTGACTATAAAGGTATCTGTTTAATGGCCTTTTTTTTAATGATAGGAATATTCCTAAGACAGTTTCGATCTGAATTGAAGGGAAGGAAACCTCAATTATTAAACAAACAAAAAAACAACAACAAAGAAAACCCTAGTGGCCCTGCTGGGTAAGCAATGGACTGCTAACCTCAGGATGACTATTCCAGTCGGCTAGGTGAGCTTATCTACTTCTGGGAAGATAAACAGCCACGGAAACCCAGTGTAAAGTTGCAATGGTTTAGACTTGATGTGATGCTAGTGGGCCTCTGTTCTTTTGTTTTGTTTTGATTATATAATATCAGTATATAAGCACATTCGTTTTCCCAAGAAACCTGAGCTCTAGTACTTTTACAGAAAATAGCTTCATCATAAGGTTTTCACTCATATGCATTTCTTCCTTCTTGAGTTGAATATCTAAATAAGGCATTATTGAAAATTGTACAATTTAATTAAATGTGATTCTCAAAGACACGCAAATTAGTTAATGTTCATTTTATAACAGAAATGATTCCATTCTAAAGAAGCGATTCTATGTGAAGCGATGATTTTCGGGCAACTTAAACCCAGGCACTGAATTGAGAACAACTGGGGGAGGGGGTGAGAGTGAAAATCATTACTTACAAGGAGTATTCAGGAACGGCATCCTTGAAGGCAGGAAGTTCTCGCACATATTCATTATAAAACCATTTCACTTTGAAATGCAAATTCATATAATCGGTGCTCTTGCATAACCGCTGCTTTTCATGCTCTGTAACAGATAAAATCAAACATTTAATAAAGTTTGGTTTGCCAACAATGCTGCTGTGTCCCAGTCTCCTTTCTTTGCAGCATTTCAAGAAGGGAGAAATGAGCTTATTTGACTTAAAGGGAAACGGAATCATCAGAGATAGCCCTGAATTTTTTTGTAGATGCAAAGAGTAGTGTGGCATAACTTGAATGGTCTAAAACAGCTTACTAGAAAAGGAGATCAATATGAAGCCGTCAACAAGTAATACCAGGGTCATAATTTTACGTTTATCTGCAAGATTATTTTCACTACTTTCAGCCTTATGCAGAGTGGCAGAAAGAATTAGACCACTAAGCATGAATAAACTATGAATCACACTGGAAGCCATAATCACAGATGAATACTGGAAATGTGAACGAGTCCCATTTCTAGCCAGAGTATTTAGCACCTAAAGAATTAAGATAACATGAAAAGAAGATGAAATAGATCTAAAGTCCAAAGTCATGTGATTTCTGTACCTTTTAAGTTCAGCTAAAATTGTTTTGCACCCTATAGCTTTTTCTGACATTTCTTTGGTAGGATTTACTAATATACATCTTTCTTATTGTTTGATAAAGAATATATCATTTGAAAAAACACTGTGCCTTAGGTCAATTATGCAGGGGGACATAGATAAACAATAATGATTCTGAATACGTTTATCTCGGCTTTTTTCTTCCGATGTTAATCTCTTGTGCTATTTTGACTATAAGTATAAACACTGCCCAGCCCCAAATATCCCTGAGGTTATTCAGTTCGAAGACGTCATCTGAGATGGTCTTTATTTTTAAAGTAAAGGCTTTGGTTTAAACTATAAAATTCCTATACTTAACATCTAAACTGAATTCTGGTCCTCCTAACTTAAACAATCAGATGACTATAAGCAAAGAGTTAACCCTGTCCTGCAAAACCTGCTTGTAAGGGAACGTGGTCTCTCAGGGTGAAAAAGTAAAGACATAAACCCCATCAACCACAAGTCAAGCATTTTCAAAGAATATGAACAATGATTAGTTCAAGACAATGTGCACACCTAAGTCAGGGAGGAAGACCATACACATACACACACACACACACACACACACACACACACACATTTCTGGTTTTACCTTTGCAAAAGTCAAGGGTGACTCTGGCTTATGTTACCCCTTGTTTAACACAAATATCTCTAAAAGTAAAGGACTTTCTCCTTAACAGCACACTGAAAAGAGGTTATTCTAGTTCCATTCCTAATGAAAGCTTTCACCCTATGTGCAGCTTGTCCCAGGTAGTGGGGGGCGGGGGGGGG